TAGTACATGTAGCTTACCATGAGTTGGAATATTGACTATTGTGGGATCATTCATTCAGAAAGAGAGAGGGATGGTAAAGGCAATGAACAGTTTTGCTTAGTTGCTTTAGCTAACTTAACATGGCACTGAGTGGGACTGTCGATAAAAGAAATAGACACCAATGACTGAGGGAGAGTACCAGTTAATGAGAGACATGAGGATGGGAGAGGTACCATGATGGTACTATAGCAGTAGCTATACTGTATGTAATAGTTAATGTATAGTTTAGTGTGAAGTTTTTACCATGACATTGAGGAGACTGATAGTGATGAGACTGAGGGAATGGGAGACAGGAGGGAAGGGAGATGCATGAGTATGAGTTGTGACTAGTGTATGACAATTTTAATGAATATGAATGTAAAATAGACATACATGTACCTTGAGAAGGACATGAACCAGTTTGTAGGTAGTGTAAAATGTGCAGTGAAACAGTGAGACAGAGAGACAGGGAGAGAGGTATGTACTTACTAGCTGTCACTAGATTTACAATAATAAGTATAGATTTGCATAGATTGAATAGATTTGTGTACTTATGATGACTGTGACAACCCTTGTTCTTTGAGCGAGTACCAGAGAGACAGATACATATATGAGTGAAGTAGAGGGAGTACCATGAGGCGAGGGAGGATAAGAGAGAGAGAGAGTTTGATTGTACATGTCAAGAAGAGAGACAGTTTATGAGTGACTATAATGTGTAATAGAGTAAGAACTTTCGCCTACATGTACGTGTAGCTTACCGTGAGAGTGATAGGAGTGGTAACAGCATGGGACAGAGAAAGATACTACACACTAGGAACATCCACGGGGTGGGATTGACTGCACCATCCTCAACATTGGAGGCGCCACCCATGGAGTCCTAGTGGGAGTGAGTGAGACCACTGAGATTTGAAACAGGATGATATTGAGACCACTGAGATTTGAAACAGGATGATATTGAGGCCACAAGTGAGAAAGTGAGAGAGAGAGTGACTAAGTGAATGACCGACTAGGAAGATGAAGATGGTGAGAGTGAGGGAGAAAGTAACCAACTGTATAGATGGATATGCAGTAGGATATGTATGATATTCACCAACAGAATGAACCGAGAGCTTAGAACCTGACATGCCACTAGTTAGTGCATGTATGGCTGTTATGACCAGTCAAACCACAGTTCTTGCATGTCATTATTCTCCTTGTAAAGCTCACTGGTACCTCTACCTCCTCAGCTGGCTCTGGGACATGTTGAGCCTTAGGAGTACTTCTACGTGAACTTGGTTTAGCAAAAGATGGGTATGGACTTGTCAAATCCTTACACTCATCAGGACAAAACTGCCAGATCATGTTATACAAATACCATTGCCGTTCACTGGACAGACCAATAGGTGAAACTACTGGTGGCAAGCGAGTTGATATGGTACTACAGTTGGTTCCCTAAGAAGACTTCATCCATTGCTTGACAATCCATCACCAAGTGATGGAATGGCTTAATGGCCTTAATCTTCTTAAAGAAAGGTACCTTGTGTTGAGTCCTATCATATGACTTCACGATACATTCAAACTCCTGTGTGCCAACAACCAGTGCTTTATTGACACTTGCGGACCTCTCTACCACCTCCACCAAGTCATGCAGTGATCCCACCCACTCCTCCTGAACCTTTGCTTCAACAGACCAAATCACCAGTCTGGGGAGAACTTGGTATGGCCTGCTGGCAAGAAGGACCGGCTGATTCTCTTGTTTAGTCAAGTGAGCAGTCTCCATAACAAGTACTAAAAGATAAAAGAACAGGTATGTGAGTAATTATTGTCTGTAGTGTTTGCATTCTAATGTTTCTTGTTTATTTACCCAAATCATGGGATTATTTTTATTCTGCACAGCACAGTTGTCCGCATTAAAGTGAACAATGACAGAGTGGACAACATGATGCTTCAGGTAGAAATGGAGCATACTGACTAGAACATTGGCTCCCTTTCAAGTCAAGAAAGCTTCATCAACCAGAAAGTTGACTTGCTGTCAGCAGGCTCTGAATATACCAAACTTACGTGGAGTGAGGAAGTATACTGGGCCTGGTTGTAATGGATTTGATGGAAAGTGTACCTAATGATAAGTGATAATGATACACAATATACATGCAGTATACTAATTGTTATCTGCTGAGCATTGTCAAAACAACAGTGAGCCATGATGTCCAACTCTGCCAATGATCAGCTAAATGGTGGACTAGAAAGTCCTATGACTGGGTTGGTAAACATTCCCTCAAGAAGAGTTGCAGCTTCCTTTAGTACAGACCTATAGTACTCTCTCTTTTTCCTCACTAGATCAATGTGTTGAGTTGCCTTTTGTAAAGCGTAATAATTATTGTTATTGTCACAAGAAATTATTTATATTACATGTCCTTACAGTAGTCTCTCTCTCTATTGGTAGGTTAGTACTCCTCACAATGGCTGCAATGTTCTGTTGGCAAACCCAATATACAGTATAACACAAAAAATGTTCACGTTTTACGGAAAGGAAACTACTATGAAACCGTCCGTTTTACGATTAAAATCGTGTTTTTACCGTTACCGTTTTGTTTACGTTTAAACGATAGCAGGACGAATACGGAACGATTAGATTACGGTGCAATTGCAGGTGATAACACGTGTACCTGTTAAAGCAAAGGCGCTCGAGGAAGAAACTCGCTTGCGAGAGAAGGAGAAGAAGAAGCAAAAAAGGTCCCATGCTTTGATCTTAATTGAACCAAACAAAGGACCAACGTGAGTTAGATGATATATAATGCGTATTTCTATGAAGCAATTCTTGTGTTTAGCGCAATTGATATTGGCTCATTTCCCGATTGACAACTCATTAGCTTTGGTGAAAAAAAGCTCATTTATTGACAAAAATGCTGTGATCAGTATTGGATCAGAGCATCAAGTCAAGGAAGGAAGTAAAGTATATACTGCTAAAATAATTGAGATAGGTGAATACAGCATGAGCCATCAATGTGATGTTACAGTGGTCTTAGTGTGCTTGCATTATTTAAAATAGCATGACAATGAAGCATGTTTGTCAGACCATTTTTTGTGCATAGGAGATGATGAAGCAATTAAAATAGCTGAAGACAAATTTTATGCTGCTGATGATGAGAATGAGGTGTCAAAAGAAAGTTATAGTTAGCACTCAGTAATGAGTGTGTTTGTGTGTTACAATTTTTATAGATAATCAAAGAACACTTTGTCAAGATGCTTCAATCATAAAAGTAGAGAAGAATAGTTGCTCGGTTGTACATGAATCTGCATTTGCTAAAGCGAGGATGGCATTGGATAAAAGTACATGCAGTTGTTATAATCACAGTAATCATATACTGTACTTGTTCTCTTGTAGAAGGAAACAAAAAGCAGCAGCAACA